CCGTAAGCTTCGTGAGACTGGTTGCTAAGATACCTGATTAATGTCAGCATTATAATGCACCTAATTTCCCGTAAGCTTCGTGAGACTGTGGTTGCTAAGATACCTGATTAATGTCAGCATTATAATGCACCTAATTTCCCGTAAGCTTCGTGAGACTGTGGTTGCTAAGATACCTGATTAATGTCAGCATTATAATGCACCGAATTTCCCTTAAGCTTCGTGTGGCTGTAGGTGTACACATTAATATACTGTGGACTATACGTATGAGAACTTCTCAAGCAATTAGCAAGTAATATGAATGAATCCTCGGAATGGCGCCCCCCCCCGGGTGTCAAGCCTACTGTGTGCCAGTTGCACCTTCTTTCTGCGAGATGATAAATTACCAAAGTTTCCACGAGAGTTCGGCAGCTATTACGGGCGTTTCCTTCCTCGGAACTTTCTTCAAAAGGCTCTTTAAGACATGAGAAACCAAGGATGTGCGGTAGTGCCTGCACTGAAAACATACGAATTCTTTTTATTTAATCCTACGTATGACATAAATGAAATCATATTGTAGCTTATAGACCCGTTTCTAGGCAACAAACTCGAAACAACAGGACAATAGCCGCAGTTAGGCTGCAGATTCTTAACGAGCAACAGTTGACCCACTACATTAGAGGAACTGTGGGAAGAGGGATTTTCTACGCAGTCCGTGCTGAGGGGTTTTAATCTGGACGAAGTTGAGCTAAATTCAGGTGTTCAATATGTGCCAGACGGTAAGAAGGCAAGCGTAGAACAGTGTTACACTCCAGGAAACGACTGATGTAGACGGAAGAGTTTATATGTGCTATATCTACAGTGTGTAAACCAGAGAGACTGTTATAGTTAGTGTGTTAGGAGCCGCTACCAGGGCTCTCTACTGGTGAAGACACAGCAGCCTGTGCTATAGCGATTTGTAAATTGTGGAACTCAGCGATGGCGCTGTAATTAAGCGTAGTGACGAGCCGTGTATATAGAGTGGTCAGTAAATCCCGTCGATAGTCACTCCGTCACGTGACAGGGTCTCTCGGTACGTCATTGAGACGGCAGCCCTCACCGCGCTGTCAGTTTGAGACGCAGCCGAGACAGTCGCTGTGTGATGATAGACTGACAGCGGTCCGGCAGCTTGGGTTTCTCTCTGTCACAGGTTCTGATTCTAGATGATATGTATGGGATTACGCTTGATTTGTTGTATAAAAGAGAATTAACCCTTTAAAGACCGAAATTCATGTAAGTACAATGATATATAAGAATTCAGTCTGTACCTCACAGGAAACCCATTACGTCTCCGCTACAGAGCCCAACCGGTGAATGCTGTTCAGGGAAACAGTCGCTGTTTATTGTGAGAACTGTACGGAACACACAGATACACTCTGTGGGCAGAATATAGAATTTTGGCACGGTATCTTATAGCAAGTGGTATATATAGTAACAACTGGGCTTTGAAGGCTTGCTGTGAAGTGAATGTATGGATTGTTATACCGTCCTTGTGTTCGTCTGGCTATCTTGTGCGAAATGACAAGAGATTTAGGATTGACGGTAACCATGGCAACTCCGAGCCTCTCGAATGTAACTCAGTCCATGTTGAGATATGTTTTAATGCAAATGCCAAATATGGCCTAATTTAGTTAACCATTCGGTTTTGAACACTTAGGTTCCATTCTTTCATATCATTAAGATGGACCGGGGTCCCGTTGCTTTCCTTAACGACATCCCGGTGTGTAGTGGCGACTAACGTTCAAATTCAGAAATGAAATTTTATTGGCGTAATTAAAAATATGAATTAAAATCGCACCCAGAAACTCTAGCACACCCTTGCGCACCGACAGCCAGGGTTACTGTGCGTGTTAATGGGAATAGTACGCACTGAATTCAGTAGTATCTCAAGGTGTTCTCTGCTAGGTCCGCGGTAGGAAACAGGAAATAGAAGAGTTTATACACTAGTGTTACACCCTCTGGCAACTCAGCGGGACGTCTAATCGTTTGTTATATAAGTTTTCGTACTATAAATTTTCCCTGCTTTATCTCGTATTCCTTTCCAGTCCTACGTTTTATCGAGTGATGCGCTGAGGTCGACGATTAACGCCATCTCCCACGAATAACACGCAAACAGTTTTAACCGTAGGCCATCTGCTTTATGTAGTGTACTGCACTTTACATATCGACATCAAAATAATATAAATCCACGAATTATATGCACTGGAAGAAGTAATGCTCCCTCCTTCGTCACTTGCTACGCAACATACGTACATTCATACAGCATGCGAAGAAAAGGTAAAGCTACCATGGTGACCCATACGGTTGTGAGACCTCAAGGCTCCAACATCTTCTAGACAGTCGGCTCACAGATGGCGGTGAGGATGTTAGCCTTGCGTGCCGGCCACCCCTTCCCCCCAGGAAGATCCCTGGTACTCATTTCTGATGACGCCATAGTGCGTCTAGAAGGGCTGGGTAAATTGAAAAATCCAATGCGCACGCACGCACACATATCACTCATATCACTCATGGGGCTGAGCCCTTCTTGAGAAGCTGCCAAATCTTTATTCAGACTCGAAATTTGTAATTGAGACGGGCCCGCGTGGTAATGGAGCTACAGTACAGCTTCACGTATCTGGGTGAGATCGCCTTGTCAGCCGGCAACTTCTCCTGCATGCCAGTTGGGCGGGTCTGTATATACATGATTTCTACAGGTGCATGGCATGGAATCCGGTTCTCACGACCGTCAGTGTGAAGGTTACGCTCTGTTGTGGAAGGCGGTAGTTACGCCATGTACTCTTTGTCACAAGTTACTAGCGTTTCGGAGAAATTTACAGCCTCCTTGTTCATGGTAGACCTTGAAGATAGTGGGAGAAAGTTCCTCCGAATGAGAATACACAGTATCACAAGATCAGGTTGATAGCCCTGACTTTTATTGGGGAGGTGGTTTTTCGATCTGACGTTCTCGCGATTCTTCTCAGTCCCTCCAGGAAAATGTTCGGATTATTCCTCAAATAGACCGCCAGCGTTTCCTTCCAGACCCTTCATCAGTCAGCTGCAGTTGGACGCTGTGCTACGCGGCGTCAGCAGTCAGCTGGGACTGGGCTGTGTTCTGCTTTGTCACAGTTTCTGCCTGCTCGATTCTTTGC